GTATTTTCCGTGTACTCGTGTAGGCATTCGTGCAGGGCTGGTTCGTTTAAACACGGAGCAGAACCATTTGAATGTACATATAAAGAAGGTCGGCTCCGAGCAAACTCAGATATGCACCAAACAATCAAATCAGCGAAATTACCTTCTGGAATCCAACATGCCGCTGTACTTGGAGGTTGATGGATGCCGACCCACCCAAGACGCCCTCTAAATGGCTGGCAACCTTCCAGACGTCGGCGACAGCCAGCCCAAGTCTTGTGAGAGGTCTAGCTGCTAGAACAAGCGGTAGTGTAATAGGTGATGTGACATCCCAAATGAACCTAACCAACTATTGTGGCAAGATGAGCTCACTCGATTATGGCAGTGTTTGGTAGACCCCTCATTCATTACTACTGCTAGTATTGGTGAATTTCGGCTGTGACATTTCAGTCCGAGTACGGTCTTGCGTTCTTGTCTTTTCGGTTTGACTGAACTTATCTGTTATTTGGTTAAATGACTTCTTTACTCGTTACATTTGAAATAAAGCTACTTAATTTTTTGTTCCATCAATTCATTCTTCTTGACCATCGAGCACATGCAAATATGCCTTCCTTAGCGGTTTGGTCATTGACTCAGTAATGCTCTAAAATCGATGAAATTGTTGAAAGTTGGGTGATGTGGAGCAGGAGCTTTTCATACCCACCCACTTTGGGGTGCTGATTTTGCAACAAATTAATTGCTCCTCTTATTCAACCATTGATTGGTTAAGTGGCTCAAATCAGGAGTGACTTATTGGAAATCGATTAATCTCATTGGCTTAATTTGATGGCTTGACGCACCACCCGCCTAATTAATGCAAGACGTCGATTTTACGATGAAGCCTAGATTGCTGTCATGACTGCGGATCGGTTGTTAGCTCTACGTTACAGGCTGTTGCTAATCAATGAAATGACATTTGACACTGGAGGAGAGTGATGGTCGAGTGGTTGGACGACTAGAATTCGAATTTGTCTGACTCAGCCCTGCCCTATTTGTTCACCACTTATATAGTGATTGTTTCACTTCGTATTCTCATATTATCAGACGTCACGCGCCACAGGCATTAGGTTCACTACTGGGCG